TGGTACACCTTTCCTGTTATCTGTACACATCAAACCATCATATATATTCATATTTTAATATTTGTTTTATATTTCAGGGCGTTGATGATGCCTTCTATACATTAGTTCGAGAAATTCGAAAACATAAAGAAAAGATCAGCAAAGATGGTAAAAAGAAGAAAAAGAAGTCAAAGACAAAGTGTGTAATTATGTAAATACAATTTGTACTTTTTTCTTAAGGTATACTTAAGTGATAATTTTTGTACATTACACTAAATTATTAGCATTTGTTTTACTTTAGCATTACCTAACTGTTTTTTCTGCCCCATTCAGACTATTAGCTTTTATCTTGAATGCTTATTTTAAAATGACAGTGGAAACTTTTTTTTCTCTAAGTGCCAGTATTCCCTGAGTTTTTGGTTTTTGAACTAGCAATGCCTGTGAAAAAACAAACAAATAACTGAATACCTAAGATTTCTTTCTTGGGGTTTTTGGTGCATGCAGTTGATTACTTCCTATTTTTTCTTACCAATTGTGAATTTTAGTATGAAACAAATTAATGAAGCTTTTAAATCCTCCCTCTTTTGTGTTTTATCTAGTCACCTACATGGATTAATTACTAATTATAACTTCAATTGAGATTTCATGTTTTGCCAGAATATTAAGGGAACACGAATTTCTGGGCTTCCTGTAGATTCATCTTGTAGCCATCATGTCCTCTAGTTTCAGTTGCCATTACTTAATGTAAATTTACACAGTTCACAAATGTTTTCTTCCTCTTTCTCTGCTATTTGTCATAGTCAAGTTCCCAAAAATAATATATTTTTTCTATAAAAGGGAAAAAATGGAAAAAAAGGCAATGGAAAATATTAAAAGGCTATTTACTTTCCACATAGATAAATTCCTATAATACTCTTAATAACTTTTCCTGTTAATGCAGACCCAGTATGTAATGAGGATTCTAGCAACCATTTGGGGGGGTATATTTACATGCTACTAAATTTTTGTAATAATTTAAAAAAATTTTAACATGTATAAAAATTCTTGTAGGAATTAAATGTAGTCTCCCTGTGTCAGAGTGCTCTTTCCTAGCATAACTTTAAATAAAACTTTTCTTGAACTTCAGTCTATAAAAATGATTTTAATTCTGGTAGTGATATTAAAGATGATTTGAGTCGGTTAGTTTAGTAGGTGTAGAAGAGACCAAGTTGAAGTCCAGGCCCTGTGTGAACCCTGGAGACCATTGTGAGTTTCACAGTGTGCAGTGCATCCCTATGGTCTCCCCGTGTTGTCAAGCATCGGTTGGTCAGAAATAGGGACTCGGAGAGATGTGGCTAGCTCAGCAAGATACGTTCTCACTATGTGATGGTTCTGCTGACAGTTCAGGAACATAACTTAAAAACAACAATAGAACTTAAATTATATGTATATATTTTAAATGAGGTTTTGGGGATGGGGCAAAACTTTAATTTTTTTAAATAATGAAGGGAAAAAGTTTCAAAGTCTCTAGTATTGTCTAGTTCTACTTAGCATGCTTAAGTAACATTTCATAAACACTTTACAAGTCTGGCCCATTTTTTAAAGAATATCTAAGGCTTAAAAATAGATAAATTAAGACAATGATTCTTTCAGTACATGTTGCTTATTTTAAGTTTTAAAGTGAGATGGTATGCGCATCTAAAGCGAGAGGTGAAAATATCATTGAACTAGGAGGAAGGTGACTTAGATTTTGGTGTATTTTACAACTTTGATTTTGGGCAGATCACTTATCATTTCTTCATGTTAAAATAAGTCATCTCAAGGCCATAGCTAGCCTTACAATTATGTGATTTACATTCAGTTTACATAAAAAATATACCTGTTTGTCAGTCTGAGCATAATCTATAACTTTTTACCTGTGTTACTATTTTCATTACCAGTTTTGGGCAAAATTATGCAAGAGTGAAGTTTATTTTTGAATATCCTTTTCCATATTCAAGACCTTTCCTCCCATATTAGTGTCACCTTGCCTGCCTACCCTTCTCTATGGCCAATGACTTAATTGTTTAAATTTAATACATCTCATTCCCCCTAACCTCAAGATTTATTGCTATTTTGGGCTTCTTCTTGAAGGCTTCACATCAGGTCACATCAGAATGCCTTTCCCCTCCTCTTATTTGCTCAAGCTCAATATAACCTGACAGATACTACAGTAGGTTTTGACCTAATGGCTAATTTTTGAGGTGGCTGTAGCAATTTAATCTTGAACCTTAGGATATTATGTTTGCTGACTGGTCCATTAGTGACTAGGAATTTCCATTCCTATCCAATGGAAGAATTTAATAAAGGTGGTGCTGAAAGAATTCCTTAGATAATCTGTAATTAGGACTGTGCTGAAAGAATTCCTTAGATAATCTATAATTAGGACTAACTCTGGTAATAGGACACATTGCATTGTTTTAATAACAAATCTTAGTGAAAAATACTTTCAAATTTAATTTATAAAGCTTTTTAACATGGTTCATTCAACATATTTGAGTGCCTTCTAAATGCCAGGCACTACACAAGGCACTGAGGATATTAACCATAACCAAAAGGGACATAATCTTTATGCTAAAGTGTCATTACATTCTAGAGTGTTTGTAATATCTTTGAAGGCATTTGGCATATGACCCAGAAATAACCATGCATATTTTCGTTTTGTAGTGAAGGGAGTCAGTCTCTTAAAATTTCTTCCATTTTTGGAATAATTATTTTGCTCTGATTCCAATGTAACTTTAATCAAGCTACTTTATATAAATAAGTTTTCATGTTTTAAAGGAGTAAGCTTGACTGTACATTTTTATTTGGCTCATAAATGTGTGACTCTATTGGGACAATTATAGTATACATTAACTTGTATGTAATAATATTAAAATCCCCAAGTGTGTAATATTCTGGTTGGTCTCTTTGTATAAGTAATTAAAATAGACTTTAAAAAATAATAATAAATTCTGAAAGTTAGGTTTATTTAAGGACAATTAAACATGTGCCTGAACTAATTCACAGAAAAAGGAAATTTCTGTGTCAAAATCATTATGATTTCTAAAACGGTTTCCTAAAGTAAGGTCCATGAAACATTATCTAGGAGGAGTATTAAGACTTTTAGAACCTCCTCTTATTTCTACCCAAGATAAAGAAATGGCCATACTTCAAGAATAGCAGTGCATAATTGAGGGAGGGGATTTTTTAGGATTTTTGAATTTGTTATGTAGCTGGACAATTTTTTTTTAAAGCAGTGGTAATTATCCTTTATTAAAATCTAAATTTCGAATGAATTGACACAAGGTTTGTTTCCATAGAGATTTTAATTGAGGAGAAATGATCCTAGAAGTAATATAAATGTTATCTAATTATTACAGACTTAAAGATAAAAGTCCTTGTTGAAGTTGAAAAAATGCTAAATTATAGTCTTAGACATAAACATGTCTGTGGAAGAATGTATCAGAAATATGTAGTAAAATTTGAATGAATATTCCCAATGGGGAATTCTAGGCTCTATTTTAACTGAGTCACACTACATAGGAATTTCGAACCAAACTTTTGTAGGTTATCATAACCTTTGCCACCATTGCACAATTTTGTCTTTAATATATAAAGAAATCTTGTGAAGCATGTTAAGTTGCAGTTTGCACAAGTTCATCTCATTTGTATTCCAGCAATTTTTTTCTTCTAGCCATTTTTCTACACATTCAATTTTTGTAGGTAATAAAAGCTGTCATTTACATTTGTCAACAATACTTTCATGATAATTATATATTTCTGATATTTAAGAACTTATCAGTTACTATAAAACTGAATTTAATAACTTCTCGGTTAATATTGGGTAGCATGAAACCTGCTTAGATAAATTGAACAGCATACAACTGGTAGCTGCAAATTCCTTCAGAAAATGAAATTATTTCTTTGTAAAGATATTCTCATCAGTTCTTAAAATATAGTGATAACTAGATTAATACGTATTTTAGTTTAATAGTTTTAAGTGCCTGTTTGGGATGATGCTAGGTAATTTAGATGAATTTAGGGAAAACAAAATTATTACCTGCAGAAATGTCAATTACAGAGAGCCCCCCTCCCCATAGAGCTAAATGGGTTATGTAATGTTTTATCCAAAAGTTTCCAGTTCCACTGTCTTGTGTTTTTATGTTGAAAATACTTTTGCATTTTTTCTTTGAGTGCCAATTTCTTACTAGTACTATTTCTTAATGTAACATGTTTACCTGGAATGTATTTTAACTATTTTTGTATAGTGTAAACTGAAACATGCACATTTTGTACATTGTGCTTTTTTTTGTGGGACATACGCAGTGTGATCCAGTTGTTTTCCATCAATTGTTTGCGCTGACCTAGGAATGTTGGTCATATCAAACATTACATTTAAAAATGACCACTCTTTTAATTAACTTTTAAATGTTTATAGGAGTATGTGCTGTGAAGTGATCTGAAACTTGTAATATTTTTGTCATGAACTGTACTGCTCCTAATTATTGTAATGTAATAAAAATAGTTATGATGACTTTGCTAGTGTGTATTTCTTTTTTTTTTTTAAATACATTTTTATTGAATTCAGAGAGGAAGGGAGGGGAAATACAGAAACATCCATGATGAGAGAGAATAATTAATTGCCTGCCTCTTGCACGTCCCCTACTGGGGATCGAGCCTGCAGCCTGGGCATGTGCCCTTGACCGGAATTGAATCCTAGACCCTTCAGTCTGCCGGCTGATGTTCTATTCACTGAACCAAATCAACTAAGGCTAGTGTATTTCTTAGTAGAAATTTGAATCATTTGCCCAACAACTGATATGGAATAGTTCATAATCACAGATACTATAGTGTAAATCTTTTAGAAATCTTTTTTTTGTGCTGCTTATAAGTTAGAAATATTCTTTATGAAAGGTGCTGTGAACATTTTGTAAGGTGTGTTTGCTTAAACTTACAACCATCTTAGTTTTAATTCCATTGCCATGTTAACTCATTTAGAAGTAGGTGCAAACAGATCTACCTTTATGACAAAAAAATAACTTTATTACTTTTTATCAAAGAAGGTAATTGATACACAACAGGTGATTTGTTTTAAGACCAAAGGAAGCTAGAAGCAAAATAATGGAGATATTGAATAGGTATGTACGTAATGCCAATCACGGACAAGCTATTGCAATATCAGACATAATCTTCATATGTATTATTTTTATAACTGCACTAAAATCATGACCAGGTGCTACTCGTTTTGTAGTGAACTACTTCAAAAATTAAGAGAATAAATGTGTAAGATTATTTTGCCTAGTTTCATGTGAATTAAATGGCATTGTCAGTTAAATGGAGAAATGGGCTAAGAATAATTGGCAAAAATGTATTAAGTTATAATTGTTTTCAGTACATTATTTTTCATATGAAATTAGGTACTCATTAATCTATAATTGGTAAGTTGGCAATGTTATGTTAGTATAAAATTGCATAAAGGGTTGCTGATAAAACTCAGTATAAATGGAAGTTGAACACTGTTTTAGCTCAGTTAAGGCGGCTTAAATATTTTTTATATGTATGTGTTGCCATTTTAAGTTAGAATTATTTTTATATTTGTTGTACATAAACAGCTGACACTGGTTTTAGCGAAATTATAGTATTGATCAGTTAGTGTCTTTGGTATCTGAATAATAGCGCTGTTTCATAGCTCTGTATTTCCTAAGGAAATATAAAGCTTCTAGCTCTTTCATTACAAATTCACCCCGTGCAATAAGTTCTCTGATCTTCTCTGGGTCCTTCACATCCTTGTTTTTAAGGAAAACATTCTTCAGACGCTTATTAAAATAGTCTGCTCCTTTTGGATAGTCTCGTCCAAGGTACAGCAGCTTAAAAGAGAAAGATTATATATTTCTAAACAATCCATGCCAATGAATAACATTTATAAAGTTGGCAATGTAATTACTTACATTTTTATAAAGATTCAGTACTTCTCCTCTTAACGAATTAGCCATTTTCATTTATGGGAAATATCCACTTATATATAGCATGCCTAAAGAAAGAAAGTTTGTGAGGTTTTTTTGCAGATAACTGTATTGTAGTAAAAATGAAGAAAACAGGTTTTACCTGGGGGGAAAAAAACTAACTTTTTTTTTTTTTTTATCCAGTTAATATTTTGACCACTTTTATGTTCTAGGCACTAGGATATACCTATGAATATTGGTTAGATAAGATACCTGCTTTCACAGAACTAACATCTCCTGGGGGAGACATAAACAAGATAATTATGAATTTTGACAAGTCCTATGAGGAAACTAGGATAATGAGAAAGAGAAAATGAATTGTCAGATATGTATGTACACCTCCTTTTAATACCACAGTAGAATGTATTAGAAATAGATTTGAATGCCAGCTTTATAATGTATAGGTTACTTAACCTTTCTGAGCCTCAATTTCCTTGTCATCAAAAGGAAGACTATTTTTTTTCTGCTCTCAAGGTAAGGCCAGATATGGAGGACATTGAGAAGAGGCCTGGTCAAATCTAGAAGGGTGCTATCCTAAGAAAGGCTAAAATGTAGAAGAAACTTGCTGTGTGAGTCTAGCAGGCTCACAATTAATGGTAGATGGGCAATAAGATTGGTAAAGAGGCCAAGTGAACAACCCATAAGGGGTTACATGAGCAGGCAATATCAAAAAGGATAGGTTAGCTGAGACCGGTTTGGCTCAATGGATAGAGCGTCAGCTTGGGGACTGAAGGGTCCCAGGTTCGATTCCGGTCAAGGGCATGTACCTTGGTTGCGGGCATATCCCCAGTACGGGGTGTGCAAGAGGCAGCTGATCGAGACTCTTTCTCATCGATGTTTCTAACTCTCTGTCTCTCTCCCTTCCTCTCTGTACAAAATCAATAAAATATATTAAAAAAAAAAAAAAAAAAAAAGGATAGGTTATACGAAACTAGAGGCCCGATGCATGAAATTCATGCAAAAGTGGGCCTTTTTTACCCCTGCTGCTGGCACTGGCTTCCCACTGGCCACCAGCAGGCACCAGGGACCTGGACTTCCCTCCGGCCACTGGCAGGCGCCCAGGACCTTGGCTTTGTCCAGAAGGACATTTGGTCTAATTATTATGCTTTTATTATAACCTAGTGACCCAGTGCATATTATGCTTTTATTATAACCTAGGGACCCAGTGCATATTATGCTTAATTCGTGCACATTAAAAGGGGATTAGTTAGAGGAAATAATTTAATATTGCTATTTGCTCTTTTTTTTTTATAATAGAAGTGTCAGAGATGAAAGAAAATTAGTAAAATGTATATGAAAATTTTCCTTCTGTTAGAGTCTGGGGCATGCCACAGGAACCAGAGTCAAGTCCTCGCCACCCACATGTGCCTCAAAACTGCGCAAGGCCCAGACCCGGCCGGCCCCAGCCCAGTGCCACACAGCCTCAGGTCCCCCAGGTGGGGGTTGCGGCCTCAGGTTGCCTGGCCTGGAACCAGGAAGGGAGTATGGTCTGAGGTCCCCTGGCCCTGGCCGGGGGGGGGGGGGGGGGGGGGGGGGGGGGGGGCACTCCTTGAGATCTCCTGGCCTGGACCAGAAAGTGCAACCTGAAGTACCCCATCAAGCCCTGCGGGCTGGGGTCTCGGCCTGAGGTCCCCTGTCAAGCCCCACCAGGTGGGGTGTGCAGCCTCAGGTTCCCTGCCCTGGGCTAGTGCCACACAGCCCCAGGTCCCTGCCGATTGCTTATTAAGGCTCCTTACGGAAACCTGGCCTCCGCAGTGGGTAAAATTATCTTGTGTTATAGGATTCCCGCCTCTGCTGTGGGCACAGCCATCTTTGTTATGGCATGACATCAATTTGCATATTCCCTCTTTATTAGATAGGATTAGAGGCCCAGTACATGAATTTGTGCACAGTTGGGGTCCAGCCAGCCCGGCCCCAATTGGTGGATTGGGACTGGGCCTGTCGGGAGGAGGAGACGACAGGAGGTTGGCCAATGGGCCCCGCCCCTGATTGAGGTGTGGGGGGCTGATTGGGGGCAGGGCCAGCCGTGGGGAGGGGCTGTGGGCAGTGGGCCAGCCATCCCCACCCCTGATTGGGGTAGGGGGGCCTTTCGGGGGGCAGCAGCCAGGGGGAGGGGCCATAGTGGATAGCCAGCCAACCCTGTCCCTGATTGGAGTGGGGGTGCTGATCCGGGGCAGAGCTGGCTGGGGGAAGGGGCTGTGGGAGCCCATCAGGGACAGGAACGGGTAGGAGGAAGGACTGCAGGAGGTTGGCTGGCAGATCCCACCTCCTATTGGGATGGGGGGCGATAGGAGTGGGGCCAGCAGGGGGAGGAACAAGGGGGGTTTGGCTGGCCAGCCTCACCCCCAGATCTGGCTGGTTCGCTGGCCCCGTAGGCGTCATAGCCACTGGTCGTTCTGGTCATTAACGCTATTCTGATCACTGGCTTTTATATATATAGATGATTTCACACTTGCAGGAAAGTTGCAACATACTAATATTTTTTCCTGAACTATTTGAGAAGTTACTAACATGCTAGCCCATCAGCCTGAATACTTTGCATAGCCATCTAATAGAAATATAAGAGGCACTTATATAATTTTACATTTTTAGTAGTACATATTATAAAATAAAATCATTTAATAATACTTTTTATGTTTAAAGTGTTATTTTAATTTGTCACACTAGCTATATTTTAAGGGCTTACAGGTACCCAGGACTTAGTTGCTATCACACTGGACAGCACAGCTTTAGCGTGTATTGTCCATGAACAATGACATTTCCTACTGAACAATACGATCAGCATCAGGAAGTTAACACTGCTACATTACTCCCGTTTGATCAACAACCCCTTCATGTTCTGGCATTTGTCCTAAAGATGCCCTTATTTCACTAGGGACCCAGTGCATGAATTTGTGTACCTTGAAAGGAACTGTGAGCCGCGGTCCCTGGTCCCCTGTCTGCCAGCAGCCCTGCTCCTGCTGCCACTGCTTTCACACACCAGCCCTGCTCGCACCCACTGACGGCACAGAGGGATTGGGGCCGGCGCCAGCAGTGGGTATAAGTGGTAGCTGCTGGTCTGACTGCCCCTCAGGAGCAGGAGGAGGTGGAGGAGCCCTCAGGGGCAATCAGGGCTAGCAGCCTCTGCTCGCACCGGCTCATGGCGCTGAGCGATATAACTGGTAAATTTTCCTCAGTCTGTGCAAATGTTAATTTAAACAGATTAAGGCAGTGTATCTTTAGTATTGTACACTAACGTTCAGGCATTTACGTGTATTTTTTAGTCTTTGGGAACAATCGGTCTCCCTGGGTTTGCTACTGGTGCACCATTTAAGTGCAGCAGGGGCCAGGGACTGCTCCTTAACCTTGCATCAAGTTATGGCGGCTTCTGTTCTTTGTAAACAGCCAGATGAGTTAGGGCTGGAAAGAAACCCCCCTTCATTCTGAGAATGAGCTGTGAGTAGTAGGCAAAGGCTGGGCTAAGAAGCTAAGATATAATCAACTAAAGTCCAGGGTTAAGCAAGGATTGTCATTTTGCTAGGGATTATGGCATTCAAAGCTGTTGTTAATCACTCCTCCCCATGCAGTTCAGATGGCAATAAGAGCGGAAAGAAAACTGGCAAAGAAGGGCAATGCACTGTTATTATTGATTGCGATCTGGTAGACTTGACTCAAATAGACGAAGCAAATATCCCCAAAGTAGTTAAACCTAAAAAGCTTCCCACAAAAACGTATTCCAACACAACTTGCCAGCACTGAAGGATATGTAGTCAGAGAGGTCGGAGGCAAGAGATGTTGCTCCCAAAGGCTGGCATACAGCTTGGTCTAGTCCCACCTAGAAGCCAGATGATATGAGTGAGCTGAAAGGAGACGCTTATGCGTGTTCAGAACGGGTAGGTATGACACCTGTCTGAAGGAAAGAGGTGTGAACACTTCCTTACTCTCACGCAGCTTGCAAGAGAAGTACTAGAGGAGAACCAAGCCCACTGGCATAATCTCTTACTGCGCCCGGTGACTTACAACACAGTCCAGACTGCCTGTTCTGCCACATCCATAGCAATACCAAGGGCGGGGGAGGTTGGTAAGACGGAGAGTTTAAGCAAGTCCTCTCCCCAGAGGCCCACCATGGTAAGATAATTTGGAATTATCACCTCCTTTCCCCAGTCGGTCGGTCCTAGTTGAATGGACTGAAGTTTTGTATCATAAAAAGTAGTTTGGTTGAAAAACAATTTAAAACGAATGCTGATTTCCATTCCAAACGGCTTCAGAAGTAGATGAAGTCAACGTCTTACTACCAGGAATTTGGAGGTGGACCTCAACCAGCCCACAATCTGGGTTTTTCTCTCTTACAAATGATGACAATAACGCTGTAACCCACAACAACTAGCTCAGTAAGTAATATTTATTAATACATTTAATCCATGCCGTTGAGATAGAGCATTATAAAATTAGAATTCAAAGATGAGAAATGGTGTCAACAATTTGAAAGTATTTCATGTCCTGTTATGCTAAAACAGGGTGTGGGTTTTTTTGGTTCTAAAAATTCAGTTAGGCTTTGGAAGGCACTTAATTTCTTAAATCACTCACTTGTCATTTTCTGTGGGTCTGAGTTGTCAGTGTTCCTTCACTGGGGGAGGAGTCACACTCTGAAGGTTGTGCTAGTGGTTATCACAACTTCTGACCTTGGGCAAATAACTTGACCCTGGCAGGGCTTCAGCGACCTTCCTCCTTAAGCGATAACTTTTCCCAGTAATTGTTTCAAATCCTTCCCAGTTCTTTGTTTACAGCGGCTCTTAGGGGGAAAAAAAAGACACCTACCTTGCAAGGGGAATACACAGAACAAGGTGCAGGGAGAAGAATCCAAAGGTCGTTCATTTAAAAATAAACCAAGCCACTGGGGGGCCAATCTATCTCTTATCTAAATAGCCGGCTCCCCGCTGGCCTAAGCTGTGAGGGCCGGGCAGCGGGGCAGCAGCCGACCTGGGTACACAAATTCGCCCAACACACTCCAGGGAAAGAACGCGCGGCGGGGAGGGAGAGAAAGGGACTCGCAAAGGCAGAGGCTCCAGGACACACACTCCGAGGACATCCTCGCCCCGAGCGTAACTTCGCCGCCTCCAGACCCCAGGGTCCGCCAAGCAGCAGGGAGCACCCGGGCGCTGCTGCACTCACGCACTTTCCCCGCGCGCCGCGGCCGGAACACTCCACACGGCTCCCACTCCGCCGCCTGTCACCCGCGCTGCACCGACGCCGTGCGGCGAGCTGTCAGCGAGGGGGCGGGGCGCCGCCCGGAAGGACCCAGCGCGGCTGCGCGCGAAGCGTGCGCGCGGAAAGCGCTGTTTTCCTGGGGCGTCAGTGGGCGGGGCCAGTTGTCCTGACAACCCAGGAGCGTTCCGTCCACACAGCTCAGCTTCGCCTCCTGCAGACCGCCTCCTGCAGACCGACCCCCTGAGGTCGCGCTTCCGTCAGCATGGTGAGCCGGGGACGTGGGGGAACCCGGGGAAGGGGCGAGCGCCGATTCTCCTCCCGCGGCGTTCAATGAGGATAAGAACCCGCCTTATTTTAGAGGGGAGCAGGTGGGTTTAGGAAAGAACCCCTACCGCCATGGGGGGAAAGGCCTTCTCTCAATCCGTGGCCTTCCCTATACCCCCACCCCATACCCCCACCCACCGGACAGGTCAGATCTCACCCTGTTGCATGGTTTAAAAATGGTCTCAGCCGAGGGAACATAGTGATTTTTGACTCAAGGTACGCAGCCTGCCCTGAATGTATTAATGATGATAAAGCTTCTCGTTTCCCTCCCCTCCCTCTCCTCCCTCTCCTCCCTCCCCTCCACACACACTCCTCAGCTGTCTTTTCCAAGAACAGAGGCCAACATATAGCAATGGGATATTATTAATCTCATTAGGTTTATGGTAAGGAATTTGTAGGAGATCGTGCAACTGTAAGATAAGATTTGTAGGAAAGTATGATCTCCTAACAAATATCTTTCCCCATTTTTCTTAAAGATGATTTCCGTCTTCCAAGCCTGAAATCAGAGGAAGTGGAAGTGTAATTAATTATTTAAAAATTATCGGAAAATGTAAAGTTCATTCTTTGTACTTATGCCCTTTAACTTTGAGCACTACTCACTGACTGATGCTCTTAGGATTTGCAGGGAGGGAAGGCTATGTGTTTATCCCAAACCCGCTTCACAGGAAAAGCACTAGTGAGAGGTGACAATTTGCCCATCTTTAAAAGATGGCTACTTGAGAGCAGGGGCAATATTTATGTAGTACTTACTTCAAACTGGAAGTATGTAAACTGTCATAGCAAATATGATAATAAAAATGGAGCCCGTTTGTAAAAGTTATGTGAGAGCAAATTCTCTTCCTTTCCCCTTTATATCATCTCCAGCATTTTAGAGTGTCATGTGCGTAAATCATTAATAAGTATGTGCACTTTTCAAGAATGTATAATCTGCCTTGTGCCATTTTAAACATTTGTATTTTGATACAGTGATAACCTTATGGCTTGAACCAGTAATTTGCCCTGTGTTAGTGTTCACATATTGGAAGTTTATAATCTTATAGTTACATGATCTCCTACAAATTCCTTGCCATAAACCTAATGGACACATGGGCCTGATCAGGAAATTACAAATAGTGTAACCAAAAGATACTTCTAATTATTTATTGAAATAACTTTGCTTTCCAAAATAATTCCCACGCATGGCTGAATTCTGATTCTCTTTCTTATAAAGTAGACAATCATTTCACAGAAAGATTTTTCTATGAAATAATTCCTATACTTTCAAACTGGAATTAGTACCAACACTCAATGACTTATTGTTTTTTGGAACCCTTTAAACTAGTGCATTTCTGGCTGGTACTCTGGTTAGTGATAGGGCATTTGATTAAACACAGATCATTGAACGATTGTATTAAGAAAGCGTGTAAAATTCACTTATAAAAGATGCTTCAGCAAGTGAACTATTTTATTTTAGTTTTTCCTAGACTTGCTTCTCGTTTTGTCTGAATTCTTTTTTAAAAGACTTTTATTTTAAGATAATTTTAGGTGTACAAAAAAGTTGCAAAGATGATACAGACTTCCCTTATATTCTTTACCCAGCTTCTCCTAATTTTAGCATGTTACATAGTCAGGGCACTTTTGTTAAAAGTATTTGATTTTTCAAAGAATTTACCAATTCTTTTGTTTTTTCTCCCAAATTTTAGAGTGCCAAAGCAAAGAAGGTAGGTAGAAATTTTCTCATCATAGTTTTATAATTACTGGCATTGTACAAACAGAATATTAAAATATTTTAGTTAGTTTTATTATAGTTTATAGAGCTTAGTAAGCTTACTTTGTAGACATTAATGCTGTTTAAATCATGAGGTTAATCCATTCACTTCACATAATTAACATTGTGTGTGTGTGTGTGTATGTCTATGTGGATGGTAAGAACATTTAAGATTTATTGCCTTGGCAGCTTTGAAGTATACAAAACAGTGTTATTAACTATATTCACCATGCTGCACATTAGGTCCTCAAACTTACTCATTTCATAACGGAAATTTATACCCACTGACATCCCTCCACCCCTGGCAATCACCAATTTACTCTCTTTTTCTAGAAGTTTGGCTTCTTTTTACATTTTATATCTAAGTGAAATCATACAATTTTTGTCTTTCTCTGATTTAGTTCACATAACATAATGCCCTCAAGGTTTATCCATGTTAATGCAAATAGCAAGATTTTGTTATTTTTTATGGCTGAATAATATTCTATTGTATGTTTTCTTTTTCCTTATCTATTCATCTGTGGATAGACACTTATATGGTTTCATGTCTTGGGTATTTTGAATAATGTTGCAATGAACACGGAGATGCAGGTATCTCTTCAAGAAAGTGATTGCATTACATAAAGTTTACATTCTATCTTGGGGGGGAGAGGTGATGAAATAATATAAACCTATTTAATAAAAGGCTAATATGCAAATCGACCAAATGGCAGGACGACTGGTCACTATGATGCGCACTGACCACCAGGGGGCAGATGCTCAATGCAGGAGCTGCCCCCTGATGGTCAGTGCACTCCCACAGGGGGAGCACTGCTCAGCCAGAAGCTGGGCTCATGGCTGGTGAGCACAGTAGTGGTGGTGGGAGCCTCTACCACCACCGCAGCAGCACTAAGGATGTCCAACTGATGGCTTAGGCCCACTCCCTGCAAGAGGCTCCTTGACTGCCAGAGGGCACAGGTCAGGCTGAGTACCCCCCTACCCCCGTGCATGAATTTCGTGCACTGCCCTCTAGTTTTAAATAACTTGGAATATGCAGAAAACCAAGAAAGGTTGCAGTGAATTGGTTCAGTGTTGTCTTGTGCATCCAAGGGTTTCCAGTCTCAATTCCCAGTCAGGCATAGGCTTGCAGGTTTGGTTCCTGGTTGGGGCACCTGTGGAAGGCAACCAGGGTAATCTCTCTCTCTCTCTCCCCCTTTCTCTCTCTAAGCATGTCCTCAACCTAGGATTGAAAACAAAATAAAACTCCCTCTCTCTGACCCCATAACTCAACTCTTACTTGCTGGAGTGCTCATGCATCCTCTCTGGACAGCAGCCATGTGACTTAGCAGCTGCCTGGGGTTAGGGGCGGATAGCAAGGTGCTGGCACAGTGCTAACCAGAAGAGCAGCCTAAGCTATCCCGGGGAAAACTGGGCCCTATTTCCCTCTTCTTGGGATATCTGCCCCTCATATCTGAATGTTAAAATTTGGGGACACAAACTTAAGTATTACCTGCTCTGTAAAATTTTACTTGATCCCAGCTATTGAAAATAATTTCTCCTTCCTTCAAACTTGCAAAAACAATTCTTGTTTATCTGCTAGTCATAAAAATTGCTTTAATATTTGTAGACATGTTGCAGTATTAAAACTGTTTTTACATATATCTTTCTTTTAATCCTTACAGCAGTGAAATGAGGTTCTATTTAGCACCACTTTTTTTTTAATATATTTTATTGATTTTTTACAGAAAGGAAGGGAGAGAGATAGAGAGCTAGAAATGTCGATGAGAGAGAAACATCGACCAGCTGCCTTTTGCACACCCCCCCGCAACCAATGTACATGCCCTTGACCAGAATCGAACTTGGGACCTTTCAATCCGCAGACCGACGCTCTACCACTGAGTCAAACTGGCTTCGGCTATTTAGCACCATTTTAAAGATGTGAAAACGGAATGGGGGAGTTACCTAAATTGTACATACTTGTCAGTATTACTCTTGCTGTTGAATAATTTACATGCTTATTTTTCATATTTGTTTCATACTTGAGTCAAGGCTTTGCACATAATAAGCTGTCTTATTTGAATGAGTGAAAAACTGGATTCATGGGAGAAAAACTGTTTTTTCATAATTATGCTTTGAGGGATATGTGCTTTTAAGTTACTTGGGTGTGTGTTAATAGCCTTTTTTTGAATGTTGTGGCCTTCAAGAAGCCTGGCAATAAGAAAAAGAAATTCTCCAAAGCTGAAAGACTGAAGCTGATGCAAGAAGAGGAGGAGAAACGACTAAAAGAGGAAGGTACAAAATACACAGTTATACTAATTTCTTATGTAGGTTATACCAACTGTCCTGTAATGTAGTCAAAATATTTTTAAAGAATTTTCAAAATTCTTTAATTTTTCAAGTTTAATTTTTTATAATAGATGTTTACTATTTAAAGGGTACCAGAAAGTTGATTGTACACACAAATCACTTTCAGATATATATTGAAGTATAGTTATCAGATAAAATACAGGATACCCAGTGAAATTTGAATTTCAGATAAACAGTGGATAAAGGGGTATAACTTGCCCCATGCAATATTTGGGACATACTTAAAAACAAACAAACAAACAAACAAACAAAAAACCACCAACAAAACAAATAGTTCATTATTTATCTGAAATTCAAATTCAACAGAGTATCCTTTATCTTTATTTGTTAATTCTGGCAATCTTACTTGAAGTATTTATATTTACAGGTGAAATAGGGGCATCAGTGCTGATTGTGCATTGAGAATTCTGACACTCAAATTTAATAAGTATGGGAAATACACGTTAGCAAGAAGTACATACAACTGTCTCAATTCTTACAATTTAATAATATTTATCACTTAAAAAATGTCTTTTTGTTCTTTAGAGGAAGCCCGTGTGAAATCTGAAAAAGAAGAACTAGCAAGGCTAGAAATAGAACTAATTGAGAAAGAAAA